TCCATGGGGACAGGACAGGGACAGGAGTCTCTGATCCTTCCCCATGCACAAGGACAGGAATCTCTGATGCTTCCCCATCCACAGGGACAGCAATCTGGATTTTTGGAGCAGGGACAGCAGGACCAGCTTGAACCTACCCCACCAGCAGGGGGTTTGGAGGTTTGGGGCAGGAAGACCCAGATTAATTAACAATTTATTAATTTATTAACTGGTGGTGGCCGTGGCACAGTGCCCGCTGTGCTGTGGCAGCTGCGGGCAGCAGCCAGCCCCAGCTTTCCCTTCCTTCTGCCCGGTTTGAGGATTTATTTTAATTAATTGCTGAGCTCCAAACGCATTAAAGGTGAGCACTGGCAGCAAACCTGCAGGAAGGGAGCACAGGCAGCTCGATAAAATCAATGGGATTTATTTGGCCTGGGATGCTGCTGCTGGATGAGGCTGTGGAGCTCCAGCTCCGGGTGGGATGTGCCAGCCCTGGAATGTTTGGGGTGCTGGGCACAGCCATGGGAAGCTGCAGCTCCCTTTGGCCAACACTCCCATCCCTTTCTGAGCCTCTGTGCCCCAGGTGGGATGGGGAAAGGACAGGGAGAAACACCTTGGATGTGCCAAGCAGGGCCCTGAGCTCCACTTCCTCATGGATCATGGAATTATGGAATCAGAAAATCATGGAATGGCTTGGCTGGGAAGGGATCTTAAACCTCATCCAGTTCCACCCCCTGCTGGGGTGGGCAGGGACACTTCCCATTGTCCCTTTTGCTCCAGACTCCATCCAGCCTGGCCTTGGACACATCCTCATGGATCATGGAATTAGGGAATCACAAAATCACGGAATGATTTGGCTGGGAAGGGACCTTAAACCTCATCCAGTTCTGTGCTGGGATGGGCAGGGACAGCTCCCACTGTCCCTGCTGCTCCAAACCCTGTCCAGCCTGGCCTTGCACACATCCTCATGGATCACGGAATTAGGGAATCACAAAATCACGGAATGATTTGGCTGGGAAGGGACCTTAAACCTCATCCAGTTCTACCCACGGTCCCTGCTGCTCCAAACCCTGTCCAGCCTGGCCTTGGACACTGCAGGGATCCAGGGACAGCCCCAGCTGCTCTGGGATAACCGTGCCACCCTCCCACCCCAGGGATGTGCCCGGCCCTGGCTCCTCCAGCTGATTTTGGGGCAGCAGCAAAGCCACAGCAGCCTCAGGACCTGCCGGGCCACCGAGGGAAGGCCCCACGTGTCACCTCCAGCAGCCACGGGGCTCCTGGTGCCCAAAGCAGCCGAGTTTTCCCCTGGGAACAGGGATTTGATGTCCTGGCTGCGTTCTGGCTGAGCCTGGCAGTGCCATCGGCTCCCTCGTGACCTTGGCCACGCCGGTGACACCGTCAGGGCCACCGGGGCTGCCACACCGAGGGGCTGCATCCTGCATCCCACGGCTGAGCAGGGACACTTCCCACTTTTTCCAGGGCTTTTTGAAAGCACCACCGTGGGTGGCACCCGTCCCACCACGGGGTGCCTCTGATCCCGCTCTGCCCACGGCATTCCTACGCCTGCACACCCCGAATTCCACGCTGGGAATTCACCAATAAAACCCTGTTGAGCCGCTGGGAGTCGGAGCTGCTTTTTTTCCCAAAGCCAGGGGAATTGTGTGCCGGGTTTCAGGCCGGATCCCCGCTCCGGGATGGGCTCTGTGCCTCCCGCAGCGCCGCAGTGCCCGGGATTTGTTTTCCTCCTCCAGCGGCCCGGCAGGAGCAGCCTCGGGGCCATTTCCACACCGTCACTCCCGCTGCCGCAGCCCCGGATCCTCCTGGATCCTCCCGGAGCATCCTCCCCATATCCCCCCGGATCCTCCTGGACCATTCTCCCCGGATCCTCCCGGAGCATCCTCTCCATATCCCCCCAGATCCTCCTAGATCCCCCCAGATCCTCCTGGACCATCCTCTCCATGTCCCTCCGGATCCTCCTGGATCCCCCCGGATCCTCCTGGACCATTCTCCCCGGATCCTCCCGGAGCATCCCCACGGATCCTCCCGGAGCATTCCCCCCATATCCTCCGGGATCCTCCCGGAGCATCCCCCCACAGATCCTCCTGGATCCTCCCGGACCATTCCCCGCCCGGATCCTCCCGGAGCATCCTCCCCATATCCCCCTGGATCCTCCTGGATCTCCACTCGGATCTTCCCGGAGCATCACCCCCACATTCCCCCGCATCCTCCTGGAGCATCCCCCCACGGATCCTCCCGGAGCATCCCCCCGACACTCCCGGCAGGGATTTCCCGGGATCTGCGCAGCCCCTCTGCAGCGGGGCAGCCCCCAGCGCCCGGGATTTCTCCATCCCAGGAGAATCCCAATCCCAGGAGCGTCCCCACTGCAGGACCAGCCCCATCCCGACCCTAGGAGCAGCCGCATCTCAGGGGGATCCTATTCCAGCAATTCCCCATCCCAGGAGTGTCTCCATCCCTGGAGCATCCTCATCCAGTAAGATCCCCGGAACAGGAACCGTCCCCATCTCAGCAGCATCCTAATCCCAGCAGGATCTCTGCTGATAGGACCATCCCCAGTCCAGGAGCACCCCAGTCCAAGGGTCTCTTCCCCCGGAGTACCCCATTCCCAAGATCATCCCATTCCCAGGATTATCCCAATCCAGGGGCACCCCAATCCAGGGGTCTCCTCCTCCGGGAGCACCCCATATCCAGGATTACCCCATTCCAGGAGCACCCCAATCCGGGAGCACCCTGTTCCCAGGGGTCTCCTCCCCCTGGAGCACCCCATTCCCAGGATGATCCCATTCCCAGGGTTACCCCATTCCCGGAGCGCCCCTGCCCCGCAGCCATCCCGCATTCTCCAAGGTCACACCTGTAGGACCGAGGGGATGGCGGCACCCCCGAGCTCCATCGCTCCGGTGACCCCGCCGGGCTCTCCCCAGCCCGGCCAGCACCGGGATCCCCCCGCCGATCCCACGGGATTTTCCCGTCCCCCGTGTCCCACCGGGACGCTCCCGCCGCTCACCTTCAGGTCGGGGGGCTTGGAGCGCGGCGGCGCCGGGACAGCGCCCGCCTCGGGGGCCGCCGCCGCCTCGCCGGCCTTGCCCTCCATCACGCCGTGACCGGGCGACTCCCCCGCGGCGCCGGGATCCTCCTCGGGCTGCTGCAGCTCGTCCGAGCGGCACCGCTTCATCCCGGGAGCGCCGTGCCCGCGGTGCCGGCGGCGGGGGGCGCCTACGGCCGCGGTGCCG